AATTTTGTGATTTCAAATTTTCCAAAAGTTCTTTTGAGTTTTTAAGCATCCACATCTGATTTACACCACTTCTCGAATATACTTTTGAACAGTACTCCTGAAGTGTCTCCTTCATTCCAGTAAATATTTTAGTGAGGAGTAAAGAAAGAGGCTTGGTAGAACATATACTGGAACCCGCTATGTATCTTTGTTTGTTAGGATTTTAACAAGTTTAGGAATCCAGTAATGGTATGGTAATTCAAATTCATTTTGATTGTTAGGAATATTAACATTATCTATAAAACGGACATATGATTTTGAAGAATTTCCTCCTTAGAAAGGGAGGTATGGGTGTCAGTTGGATTTCCATCCATAGAATTAAATCATAGTTCCTCTAAAATACAATTCAAATAATGAGCCTTACAAACAAAGACCTCAGAGTACTTGTGTGTAGAATCAGAATTTTAAACAAATTAATTTTGTAGATGACCAATCACAAAATATGAAAATTTCCGAGTTCCATTTTATTGAAGTAGTTGTCTTTTTGATATTAACAAGTCTAGTTTTTATAATTAATTGTACAAGGTGTAAAGAAAGAACTGCGAACGATGGTATTGTTCTGCCGCCTACATCAGAGTCAATTTTCAAAAGCTAAGACATTTGAATGATTTTGGGTATTTTTATAGATATTTTTTTATGAATTTACATAAAGCATGACTAATTTGGGAAAGCAAAGAGAGATAACGCTGGAACAGATGTTTACAGACAAAAAACAGCGAAAATGTCCATTTCCTTACCAATTGCAGAAGAAATTACAGCTAAAAAATTGTACTTTATCAATCTAATATGTTTGATTTTACATGGGTTAAACATACGAAAAAAATTAGGGCTCATTTATCCATATCCATGGGTATTTTATAATCTGGTGATGTTTTAAAGCCTGATTTCAATGGATAGTATCGTCTACACCCCCCCCCCCTCCCCTAAAAAGAGTTGTAATTTTAAAGAAGAACTTTTTGACACTGGTACTTGATTATTAATCAATTACTATTGAACTCTTCTTTACATTCAAAAAAGTTTTAATGGCCAAATTGTCAATGATATTGAATTAAATGGGTGTATAATTTAGGCAGGAATCGAGAGTTAGTGGGCGTAGTTCTTTTTCATGTTAATGACTTTTGTAAAAGTGTTTTGCAGTTTTTTGAGAATCCACTTTTGATTTTACACCAATTCTCGAACAAGTAAACCTTACTACAGCAAGAATTTTTGTTCTTCGTAAATAAGATTGTAATGAAAGAAGTCTAAATGTGGCATCACTAGTCCAACATTTTGATTTAACTAAGTGTGCACCCGTATACATGTTATATTATTATAATCTGACTGTGAAATAAGTCTATTGTTTGGGACAAAATAGTTTACATTGGCTTCTACTTAGGTGTAAAGGCAAAGATTATAAGAATGCTTTTTTTTAAGTACAGCCATTTATTTGATATGGTTTCGGGGTTCTTCGAGTTGAAGTATTATTGATGATAGTTATAATGTATATGCTTGGAAAATTCCAAGCTTGCCTGGAAATATATGTATATTATAAAAAGGCATTTTCCTAATATTCGGGGTAGATCATCATCATATGTACACGAGTTTCTCCACGAGGCCCAATCTAGCTGGAACTTACGAAAACGGACCGGTAATTTTTCTTTAATTTTGGATATATATTTGTATGTTCCGAGCTTAGAAAAATTTGATTGAAATTTTGTTTCCTTATCTTGATTGTAGCAGAATGGGGGGAAGTTCAAAATATGGACCATTTTTGTGGTTTTATACACAATTATATGCCAAAACTACCTTATAAAAAAAACACCCGGATGTAAAATTCCAAATTACGAGGCATTTGATCTTTCGATTAGGGAAAAAATTCGGCCTGGTAAGTTTACGAATTGCGACAAGACTCGTTCATTTCTTAACATTAGATCAAACTGTCTTGAGATAGATCATGCACTCGTGCAGAAATCACACTGTGACAGTTCAAAAACTCATGGAATTGACAAATCAAAAAAAAAAAAAAAAAACTAAATGGTGAATTTTTTGCTTTTCACACATTATGCAATATCCATTCTTCATTTAAAAAAATGAAAAGAAAATCGGGGGTATCCTTTATTGTAGTGAAAAGGGGGCTTATCAAAACACAAAAATAGGACTTAAAATTATATCTAAGGTACTTTATAAGTCGCAGTAGGTTTACATATATCAACAAATGATTGTTGCATTGAATACGTTTCCCAAAATTAAATACCCCTTACATTATGAAAATTTTTTCTCTCCATTCTTCATTTTATTTGACACAAAACGTTGTTTTACGTGGAAACAGAAGGGGGGGGGGGGTAAAACGGCAATAAGATTACAAAGTTTATGTACTTTATGCAGGAAACTAAAATATTCCTTCTTGGTTGCATTTAAATGACAGAATTTTTTTAAAAAGTTAATCTACTGCATGCATATTGAAGTTATCAACAAAACTGGTAAATAAACATTTACAAGGAGAAAGACTACATGTAATTACTTTGGTTGCAGTAGTTTTTCAATCCAAAAACTAAAATAAAATAAAACTTGTAATTTACTTAGAAATTGAAAATATCTCAAAAAGAAATTGCATATATATTACAAAGTGGCTTATTAATTTCAACAAGCACAATCAACTTGAATCAAGACCTACCAGGTATGCAAGAACAGCGAAATATTTTAGTGAAATTTGACGTCATTTTTACTGTGATATTATTGTATTCAATTGTTACGGCAATCAAGGACATTATGACGCATCTGAAACGCTGCGTTAAAACAAATGCGCAGATCAAGTAGGTTTGGCCTTGTTAATTATATGCCTTAATGGACTTTTAAGAATGATCACTGTTTGTTATCTTCCTTTTATCATTTCCTTCAGATTAACTATGGAATCAGAAGTATAGAGAGGTCAAAGTCGCCATAATTTGATGAGGGCTAAAAAATTTTTTACCCAAGATTCTTCTTGGCTCAAAGCTGTTCACAATACAATTGACAAAACAAACTGGAAAAGGTAGGTATTTATTTTGAATATAACTCTCAACAAAAAAAATATGTAAGTTATATTATGAACATGATGTATTTTCAATATTATGATGTTTATATTACAAGCATATATATTAATTATAACATGGGACAAATTATAGGAACATAGCATTCCATCCATATTAAAATATTTACAACTGGATTTGTTGGAAGTAAGATCAGTGCATTGTGGCAAAATGTTTATACTAAAGAAAATGTAAAAAAAAATACGTAAAACCCAAGAAATATTTAAGGCTACAGCATTATTGCAAATTATATAAATGATGCAGAATATGATTTACAACAATCTGATGATGTATACATACTTGTATGTGCAAAATTTTCAATGAAGAAGTTTACAAATTTTTAATAAAATAATGAAGAGAATTTCTCAATGATAATCACAGTTTAAATTGCATTGGTTAATGATGTAATATTTAACTATCACCAATGTGACAATGGTTGGATGACAAGCAAGGAACAGGCGATGACAAATTGGTACAACAATGACAACCCTTCACACCAGAGGTGATCAAAACCATGAAGTAAGCTTAAACAAAATGTATTATATACATACTTAAGTCAAAAATCTATAAATGTGTTGCTAGCATTCCTGGTAACAAATGTCAACCACATAAGGCTGACAGTAGGTGTACAGTAATAATTTGACACAAATTCAGAAATCTTTGCAATGAGTGGCTTTCCATAACTTTATGAGCAGAGCAGCAGTCAGCAAGTTTTTTTCTCAAAAAAGCTTCTAAACAAATTTACAATGAGAAGAAAAAGAAATATGTGTATGTTGCATACATTTCTGTAGCAGCATTAAGCTTCATGCCTGAATTATTAAAAATATTAAAAACTTGATCATGCACTGTATAAGATGTTTTCAACATCTGAAAAAGTAAACAAAATTCAGCACAAGATAAATGAATGTATAGTTCCTCCATTTTTGAAATAATGGAACATCTCTTCATAACCCCACACTTCTGCACTGGGTGTCCCCGCACTCCTCCTCGGGACATCCCCAGAAGATGCAATTCCCCACACAGTTGTAACAAATAAGAAACACAGCAGCAATGAAAACGATGCTGCATATTGTGCAGGGTTTTCTCTCCAAGAAAAACCCAGTCAGATAGAGTACCAGGAACATGGCATGATTATGGAGCAATGCTGGGTTCAGGGGTTTGGGGATAAGTAACACTGGAATCAACCACTGAAGACAATACATTATGATGCTTCTTTAAGTGATGATAATTGCTTTCATGATGATGTTCTCTGCAGTCGTGGTATTTCCCCAATATTGCGTATTACGCCATATTTTACGCAGCCGTAACAATGTTGTATTTGCTTTTCTTTCAGACTATACTGTTTCCAATGATGATTTCTTTTATTAAAGTTATTCTTTCTAAACAAAATTCTTTCCGTTGTTAAAAGAATCCAAAACAGCAAAAATTCCTCTCATTTCCCAAGATTTGTGAAGATTGTAAACAAGCAAATCTACTTTCGGTTTATGACGCATCCAAATCTGCCCATTGTTCTTCTGATGTAAAAAAGCCCGGAGCAAAATAACCTTTTCTGAGTAGAAATCGGATTAAATTAATTTCATATGAAACTGTAATATTGTAAAGTGAAATCATATATTTTTCTTAAAACAATAATGCTTTTAAGCCAAGTTTTATACTTTTTAAGACAGCTAAAAGCTGAGCATTATTACAATGGGGGCAGATTGACTCGTGCACTGCTTTCAATCATTTTCGCATTTAAAAAAATAAAAATAAAAAAAATATGATTGATTGAAGTTAATTTAATTCAAAAATTGTTCTGTGAAAAGAAATATATAACTGCATTATTAAGGCATTTAGTATATTATTATTTTTATATTTTCGAAAAAATATGCGAGAACATCAGTCTAACTTCATTTCCAGAAAAGGAAAGGTGAAGGTCGTGCTAACACGATGAGTGAATAAAAGACTAAAAGTAAAATATTTATTTCTGGAGGAAAAAAAAAACATGGGGAAGAATAAACCCAAAAGTAAGTAAGATAATGCTGCAGTTGTTTAGAACGATATATTTGTTTAATTGTGTAGAATAAAATGTTTTTTGACGAAATCACTAATACAGAGAAAGACCTAAACTGCTAAACTCAAGATAAATAATTCAACCTTGTGTTTTAGCAATCATTCCTGGGTCTACTCGTGAAGAGTTGCTTGTAATGACAGTGACAGAAATTGTCAACCAGTTAATCCAAGCACACAATCAAGGAAAAGATGTTAACCTGAACAGGTAAAGGTAAAAACACAGCTTAAGTCAAAGAAAATAAGCCAATATTGACCATGTTGACAGGTGAAGTGGTAAAAACAACAACACAATCAAGGAAAAGAAGCTAACTTTGACAGGTGAAGTGGTAAAAACAACAATAAAGTAAATTTCGAAATGACAGGTAAAGTTGGTCAATAACAACACAATCAAGGAAAAGAAACCAATAGCTGCAAGTAAAGTGGTAAAAGCAACAATACAGTCAAGGAAAAGATGCCAACCTTGACAGGTAATAAAACAACAAATGTGAAGGAAAAGTTGTCATCTGTAATATGTAAGGTGGTAAAAAGGGGGAAAATGGATATCAACCTTTAATTAACATTTTTAATCAACACATCTAAGGAAAAGATGTCATCCTGAACAGTTAAGACTACCTGGTAAAAATGTCCATGGAACAGATACCAATTATTATTATGGAGTACTGTCAGACAAAGACAGATTATTTGCTAGATTAAATTTATTTTCAACAGATTATACATTTAAAACCTTTGCCCTCCCCCCTTTCACAATCAAATGGTCATCCCTAAAGTTTAATTAAAACATCTAAAAAATTAGACGTACAGAATGCAGACTGCTTTTTTAGGATCTTGCCACAGTTGCTGTTTTTGAACACATCAGTTCTGGCTTTCTTCATGAACCGCTTTATTTAAATTAACATCTCTTTGATTGCCTCAACAATCCTTATTTTTTCCTTAATGCCAGTTATCAGCCTTTGAACACAAATGTGTACATTGTGTGTGTGTGTGTCTCCTTATGCACCTATTTCAAAACAAACAAGAAGTCTGTGAGCTAATGTTCACTAGTAATAACCCCACTCTGATGTGAATATAAGCTCTCATGAATCCCACCATATGACATGCCTAAACAAAGAATTGCTAAAGTTTCAAGCATCTGCCTTGAGTAGTTGCTGAGAAAACTGCAACGAAAATTTGGTACGGTCAGACACATGGATTAACAGGAAGTTGACATCGGATTTGTAAAAAAAAAAAAAAAATTAATCCCACAATATGGCATGCCTAAACAAAGAGTGTGCTAAAATTTCAAGCATCTGCCTTGAGTGTTTGCTGAGAAAACTGTGCCGAAAATTTGGTATGGTCAGAAGCATGGATAAATAGGAAGTTGACATCAGATTTGTAAAAAAACAAATCCCATCATATGGCATGCCTAGACAAAGAGTGTGCTAAAATTTCAAGCATCAGTGATGAGTAGTTGCTGAGAAAACTGCGATGGAAATTTGGTACGGTCATGCAGACATGGATAAAGAGGAAGTTGACATCGGATTCGTAAAAAAAATGAATCCCACCATATAGCATGTGTGGACAAAGTTTGTGCTAAAACTTCAAGCATATGCAATGAGTAGTTGCTGAGAAAACTGTGACAAAAATTTGGTACAGACAGACGCACAGATAAACAGGAAGATGACATCATATTTGTACAAAAATAGATCTCACCATATAGCATGCCTTAACAAAGAGTGCATCTGCATTGATTTTATACTTTTTTTGCATCTCTACTTTTACTTTCGGCCATGGCAGGAAATACAAGTCTTGTTTTAAGAAAAATGAACTTGTTATACATCTGAATCATCTAAATACATTTTGCTTATTTGGTAACTAAATGAACAATGACAATTATTGCTTCCAGGCAATATCAACAAAGATGTAATCAGCCACTTAAAGTTTTTGTGATGAGCATGAAAAAAACTTCTCCCATAATTTATGTACGTGTTGTTTTTGTCTACCTCATTGCTGTTGATATAAATTTTTAATTATTGTAGTGGTCATTAGAGACCAAATTTTCATTTCAAATCAAAGTGTAAAACTGCTACAAGTTTTGAGGTGTAAATCTCCCTCTTTTTCACCATATAGGTTAATGTATGTTCATTATGACCCTTTGAAATAAATTTTTGGGAACAAAGGGAATAAGGAAATAACAATTAAGATAAGAACACAACTGACTACAGTTTTGAACATTGTAACAAAGATATCTTGCTTTTAAGACAAAGGCATGTAGATTCTGAAAGTACATGTATGACAGTTGAAAGACTTTTTACCTAACACATTTTGCAAGAACTGCATGAACTTTTGATTTATTTCTTTAAATTAAAATATTTTTCAGAATCAAAAGCAAAGTTTCCAGTAAATATGGACTATCTAGTCAGCCCCGATTGGTGGATATTATAGCAGCTGTCCCACAGGAGTACAAAAAGGTCAGTAGGATAATAAGCTGCATGTATTTGTCTCTCATGATTATCATTTATCAAAATGCCTCCCAAATATTTGAAAAGAAGATTGCAAAATACAGTTTATAACTTTTTTTTATCTTTTAAGATATTCATCATTGATTTACAGATAAGCATTTCTTTTATGTGTAATGATAGAGGTCTATTTATTTAAGATTCTTCTGCCAAAGCTAAAAGCTAAGCCTGTTCGCACAGCCAGTGGGGTAAGTATTATACAATAGTGTTGTGTTTTGCATGCTTTGCCTAAATAGTAGTCAGGGTTTGACACATGGTGCATGAGCTGGAGGCGAGTGCACTATGTGTCAAACCCTGACTACTATTTAGGCATAGTGCATGCAAAACACAACACTATTGTTATTATTATGCTGACTGTTGTATAAAACGACAATATTTTCTTCATTTCCAATGTTTCATCACCTCTTACATTCATGTTAGTACACCCCTATTATGACGTCACATTGTACGACATGTACGTCATAATCTTTTTTTCTTTAATTTTGAATGTTCCATGGATTAGGTATATGTACAGATAGTTTCAGAGAATTTTAGTTGAATGAAGGGGAAAAAATTGCAAAAAACTATTTTATAAAAAATATTTTGTTTATTTTTTTCTTTAAATATTTGAAACCAAGTTTATATATATTATAATACGTTGCTTTAGATAACGGCGTCTGTGGCATAATCGGTAGCTCGTCGGACTGTCAATCTTGGGGTCATGAGTTCGAGCCCCAGCATGGGCGCTGTCGGATTTTCTTCAGTAAAAGAAGCCATGCACTATTTCGGCATAGTATGCTTACACTATATAAATCCTTAAAACACTATGCAAAAATAGTTGAGTATTGATTATATAAAGACAAACTGACAGGAAGCATAATAATTGATAATAATGGAGCACATATTGTGCTTTATTTTTATGCCCTGAGATCTATCAAAGATTTGGGGGGGGGGGGGGGCAGTATTGTTTTTGTCTTGTCTGTCCATCTGTCATTCTGTATTTCTGTCATGAACTTTAACATTTCCTAAGCTTTTGAACCACAGAAGGTAGAGACTCTTTATTTAGCAGAATTTTAGGTATATATGAGGGCAATAATATATTTTATCAAATTTTCAACATGCCAATTTATCTGTAGAAAAAAAAATTATAAATCAAATTTAAATGGATCAGGATTGGTATTCTGGAATTATAGATAAAGTATACATTGTACAAATTGTTTGGAAGGCTCCAAGTGTGGCAAAGTTCAGTCACATAATAGTAATAATACAAATGGTAAATAATTATCTTCTGGATTTCAATGGTTTATCTTGCCAGTGGAGTTCTTTGTCTCTGTTCAATGTAAGTTGCGATGTTGTACACTCCACACAGAGTTACTCTGAGAGTGATTGGCATTAACTATTTTTGTGTAGTATCAATATTTTGGAAATGAATTTGTTAGTTGTTAACACAGTTTATAATAATTTATTCATTTATATGACTAATTTATGATTGCTACAATAAATCATAGGACCTTGGTAGTTTTTAGTACATATGTACTTGTTGATTGTAGATAGCTGTTGTTGCTGTTATGTGTAAACCACATAGATGTCCACACATTGCTATGACAGGAAACATCTGTGTGTAAGTATGACACATGTAGACTTCTTATTCAAAAATATATATCAAAGAAAATTGTTATTTTATGATTTCAGCTCAATGAAAGTATTACATTAAAACATAAGGCCTAAGTATCGCAAGCTACCTAACGATATGATACATATCACGATACGGTTTTGCGATACAACATGTATTACTATACAGTATGAGTTGTCAACAATTTAATTAGCTGTTATCTTTACTCATTCCTGTTTGCTAACCTCCACAGATACAGAAAATATAAAAAGAATGTCTCGATACACATAACCAAACTTACTTATAAGTGGAATTTTTAGTCCTAGCATTGTAATTTTTTCTTTGCTAACTTGTTTTCAGCCATTTTGGAACGTTAAAATTTGTTAGGTTATATGTAGATTTTACTGAAAAAACAATGAAAATTAATTTGTACTGTATCACAATACATACAACTCGATACAATATGCGTATCCTGAGCCCTTGTGATCAATACGATCGATGTATCACTGTATCGTTACACCTCTATAGAATATGTTCCTGTAGATTCTAAAGAATGTTTGATCATTATTGAAATATCCTCATCCATCTGTTACACTTTCTGGACATTACTAATCCTTGTTCATTTCTAACTTGAGATGAGCTTTTGATGTATCCCTTACATTAGTGTCCCAGATTAAAGTTTTTGGAGCAAGTTTATTTCATAGTTAGCGACTTCTATTTTATACTCAACAGGACAGCTAGATCAGCCAGTCCATCCAGCATAGCTATATTGTCAAACTGTAAATGTCTTACATACTCTGTTGCATAAAATGATCATCACACAGATTTGAACTTTCTGTCAATATAAGATTTGCTAAATAAATACTTGATGTATTATTGAGTTACATTCTGTTTAAGGTACTATCCAGATTAATGAGTTACATTCTGTGTAAGGTACTATCAAGATGACCCAGATTAATGAGTTGCATTCTGTGTTAGGTACTATCTAGTTGATCCAGATTAATGAGTTAAATTCTGTGTTAGGTACTATCAAGATGATCCAGATTAATGAGTTACATTCTGTGTTAGGTACTGTAAAGTTGGTCCAGATTAATAAGTTACATTCTGTGTTAGGTACTATCAAGATGACCCAGGTTAATGAGTTACATTCTGTGTTTGGTACTATCAATATGACCCAGATTAATGAGTTACATTCTGTGTTAGGTACTATCAAGATAACCCACATTAATGAGTTACATTCTGTGTTAAGTACTATCAAGTTGATCCAGATTAATAAGTTACATTCTGTGTTAGGTACTATCAAGATGACCCAGATAAATGAGTTAAATTCTGTGTTAGGTACTATCAAGATGATCCAGATTAATGAGTTACATTCTGTGTTAGGTACTGTAAAGTTGGTCCAGATTAATAAGTTACATTCTGTGTTAGGTACTATCAAGATGACCCAGGTTAATGAGTTACATTCTGTGTTAGGTACTATCAATATGACCCAGATTAATGAGTTACATTATGTGTTTGGTACTATCAATATGACCCAGATTAATGAGTTACATTCTGTGTTAGGTACTATCAAGATAACCCACATTAATGAGTTACATTCTGTGTTAAGTACTATCAAGTTGATCCAGATTAATAAGTTACATTCTGTGTTAGGTACTATCAAGATTACCCAGGTTAATGAGTTACATTCTGTGTTAGGTACTATCAATACCGGTATGACCCAGATTAATGAGTTACATTCTGTGTTAGGTACTATCAAGTTGACCCAGATTAATGAGTTACATTCTGTGTTAGGTACTATCAATTTGACCCAGATTAATGAGTTACATTCTGTGTTAGGTACTATCAAGTTGACCCAGATTAATGAGTAACATTCTGTGTTAGGTTCTATCAAGATAACCCAGATTAATGAGTTACAATCTGTGTTAGGTACTATCAAGTTGATCCAGATTAATAAGTTACATTCTATGTTAGGTACTATCAAGTTGATCCAGATTAATAAGTTACATTCTGTGTTAGGCACTATCAAGATGATCCAGATTAATAAGTTACATTCTGTCTTAGGTACTATCAAGTTGACCCAGATTTGACCCAGAGTTACAATCTGTGTTAGGTACAGTCCAGGTGGTCCAGACTTGGATTATGTATCAATTAGTTACATTCTGTTTTAGGTACTGTCCAGATAGCCCAGACTTGGATTATGTATTATTGAGTTACATTTTGTTTTAGGTACTGTCCATGTGGCCCAGATGGATTATGTATGAATGAGTTTTATTCTGTTTTAGGTATAATGTCCATGTGGCCCAGACTTGGATTTTGTTTTAATGAGTAACATTCTGTTTTAGATACTGTCCATGTGGCCCAGACTTGCATTATGTATTTTTTGAGTAACATTCTGTTTAAGGTACTGTCAAGGTGGTCCATACTCGGATTTTGTATTAATGAGTTACATTCTGTTTTAGGTACTGTCCAGGTGGCCCAGACTCAGATTTTGTATTAATGAGTTACATTCTGTTTTAGATACTGTCCATGTGGCCCAGACTTGGATTATGTATTAATGAGTTACATTCTGTTTTAGGTACTGTCCAGATAGCCCCAATCTAATTAAAATTAGATGTTCCGAATCCGCTATCGCTTCTCAAACATCTAACAACATCCCATTCGGGGTCACGTCAGAGCGACCTTTCGATTATGAATAAACATAAAAATTTTGGCCAATCAGATTCAACCTTCTGTATTCAATTCTAAAATTAGTTCCACGGCTACATCTCTAGATTATTGATGCTCAGTAGACTTTCTTACGTTGAATTAAAGTAATTTTGGTATAAATTGAACGTATAGTCCGCCAATCTGGCATTCTTACCTGAATAACGCAAACGAAAATGCACAAACTACTATATATCCCGCACGTCACATTCATATATAGCACGGTCTTTACCATGCATATTTTGTTTACTACGAAACCTCTCGGGCGTTTAGGTTTGGCAGTAAAAAAAAGAAACGCATCCGAACTATAAGCCAAGATTTCGACGACGGCGATTTCATCAGTCTAGACGAACTCCAAAAACAGCGTGAACTCCGAAAACGAAGTCTTTGGCTCCATCATGCATCGCGCCAAAATGGCGTCCAATGTAAACAAACGATGGATTATCGTTCGCTTTCTCCAAACATACGGCTGCATAATGACTGTATTTAGTGCAATATTACTTCATTTTATTTTTTGTTGAATGGATAATTGCATTTATTAAATTATTTTGTGAATATTGACTCATTTATCGCTTCAAACTCTTGCATATTAGTGAATTGGATATACGGCATCAAATTCAATACTGCCGGTAAGAAATATTTTCTTATTAAATTTATTGTCTCCTTGATTTAAATTTTATGTCGTTCCTACTCTAAAGGTACTTTTATTTGTTTTTGAAGACACCCAACTTGTATTTATTTTAATCAGAAAATGTGCATTTTTCACCACGGAGCAGAGGTATTAACAGGTTCATTTTTAGAAGACATGTTGTGCCCTTAATATCTAGAAGAGTGGGTTTTAAAGTCTTCATATTGATAGATAATATAGTTTTAAAAATGTGTTCATAATAATATCTGTTCGTATATGATAAAAAATCGGTAAATAACGATGGTAAAAACTTACGCGTCCAATTCAGATGTCGTACACAAATAAAAAACCGTAATACTAATTTATGTGTAAAATTCAGTCAAGTTTTTAACAGTTACAATATATATTGCCCCATTTTGCAGATATATCCCTTTTTTATGCATATTTACTTCTCAAAACGTATCATTTTCTCTATGATTGATCTGACTTGAAACGTTAACTTTGAAAGTAAATATCTCCTTTTTTGCAAATAAAATCAAAAATCTGACAAATACGATCTCTTCCGAAGTCTTTTATTTAGCATTTCTGAGTACTGGTATAATTGCCATACTTTCCAAAACTTTGCACGGACAGTTTTTGTAGACCCATCATTTTTGCCGAAAAATCGCCATTTAGTGTGTGTGTGCGCATGCGCAGACTCTTTTTTCGGAGTCTTTTTCAGTCTCAATTTCTTACTTCCGGAAACGCTGTTTTTGGAGTTCGTCTAGACTGTTCATTGGGTAATCGAAAGGTCGCTCTGACGTGACCCCGAATGGGATGTTGTTAGATGTTTGAGAAGCGATAGCGGATTCGGAACATCTAATTTTAATTAGATTGAGATAGCCCAGACTTGGATTATGTATTAATGAGTTGCATTCTGTTTTTGGTACTGTCCAGGTAGCCCAGACCTGGATTATGTATTAATGAGTTACATTCTGTTTTAGCTACTGTCCAGGTGGTAAAGACTCGGATTTTGTATTAATGAGTTACATTCTGTTTTAGGTACTGTCCAGGTGGCCCAGACTCGGATTTTGAATACTCCACACAGTCTTATACAGGATATGAGGTAATTAAGCATGTTTTGGCCAAAGGTTCAGATCCACTCAGCTTCAATTGTTTATAAGATGACAGGAGTGGATTAAAACCCTTTATAGTAAAGATGCAGACCAGAAATACTGTACGTTCCTTATTTTACACAAGTTCTTTAAGATCACAAAATGCCTTGAAGATGTCAAATTGCGAGAGCAGGAATTCAAGAGTGGACTGTTGACATGTATTTCAGGGATATAAAAATAAAAAGGAATATTTTTAGTTTGTGAGCAGTGCTTCTCATGTAAATATCAATAATGAATGCATATATATATTTAGGATTTTTCTGTTTATGTACGTCTAGTAACACACACACATATATTTGGCTTACAATATTAGATTTTCAGCAAGTCGGAAAAAACCTGGTATGGAATATTTTGGCAGATATTAATTTATACTGAGTTGATTTATTGTAGCCAACTTCTATGCGAGCGATCAGAGCCAGGTACAATCCATATTTACAGACAAGACACAGAGTGGAACAGGTAGTTAGTGGTTTACAGTGTATTGCAAAAGCATCATAGAAACATCTTTAAATTTTTATCTTCCAGTTTTTACATACATGTATATGTAGATTCAGAATCTTAAGTTACACTGTAGATACAGACCAGAATATAAAGTTTGACAGTCTCGGTAATTTTGTAAATATTACAGTTAAAACAACTGGGCCACAGTGTGGACAAAGTGGAGTTTATTGTGATGGGTGGCACATTCATGAGTTTGGCCGATGAATACAGAGACTACTTTATTAGGAATTTACACGATGCATTGTCTGGACATACAAGCAGCTGTGTTGACGAGGCAGTCAAGTATGATGCTTCTGATTATTACACAAAATTTAGTTTATTTGTTTCAGAAAGTTCACTGAAAATGAAAGAAGGTTGGTTTGCATTTAAATTTATCTTTATGCTAATTTCAGATATTCTGAGAAAAGTATGACAAAATGCATTGGAATAACCATAGAAACTCGTCCAGACTATTGTCTCCGTAAACACATAAGGTAATTTCAATTCATAAATCATCAGTCTTATGAACACTGTTTGGATTTTGCATGTACTTGTAGAAATGTTCATATGTGAGGGGTTTTCAAAAAGTATGTGGACTAGTGCCATAAAATCAAAACTTCATAGAGATGCATCAATGAAGTTTTACACATTTAGGTAGCATCATATTTTCTGTCTATAGAATAAACTCTAAGTCATAAGTTTTATTTTTTAATTTTAATAAATTGGTAATGTTTTTGTACGCAATGGTATGACCAGGTGGGGAAACCTAAAAAAGATTCAGAGAGGGAACTTAAGCACACTTAATGTCAAATTGTAGTCAGAGTGTCTTAAGTCAGTCATGACGATGCTAATGTGTGGCAGACATTTAACTCTGTCAAACAAATTGTGCTGGCATAATCAAGTGAGGATCTTTCCCTTTGTATGGAATACATTACAATATTATGCATTGAAATCAGCTGTTCATGACATTGCAAAGTCATATGAACAAGGTAGGTCTTAGTCTCACTCAACTCCAATGAATCTCATCAAGAAAAATGTATTGAAGCAGAGGGAGTAGACATTGAGAAACAATCACATTGCCGGACATCATGAAACTCAACGGCGATAGCATTGGGTGATAATATTATGTCTTTATTTGGCAAATTATTAATGTGTCAAGCAAAAATTTTCAACACTTCTTAAACTTTTCTTGTTTTATGTTCCTTATCAATTTTGTAAGCACTTACTACATGTACATAATATCAATTTTATTGCATCAGCCCACAAACTTGTCGATATACATTGTATTCACATTTTTATGTTGTATACTTTTTTCAAAATAGTTTTCTTTATGGTGCTTATTAATTATTGTTTGCACATCATTTACACACATGTAAACTTTGTATTGAAAGACATAATCTGTTTTTTTTAGTGACATGCTTCGCTATGGTTGTACTAGACTAGAGATCGGAGTTCAGAGTGTATATGAAGACGTAGCAAGAGACACAAACAGGTGAACAAAACTCTGGCAAAAAGAGAAAAAATTTAAGAATTGTAGGCCTGTAAGTGGCAGAAAACGGAATATTCCATAGTCTTGGTAGATTACATGAAATATTTTAAACATTTGCTCTATTTTAGCATTTCATACAAGTGAAGAGCCACATGACCATTAGAAGATTCAGTATAATTAGTAAAGTATATTTGAAACATTGGAACATGAATCCAGAAAGAACCCTAAATGTTGTATGCTATGTCTTATAGAGGCCACACAGTAAAAGCAGTAACAGAGTCTTTCCAGATGGCTAAAGATGCTGGGTTTAAAGTAGTAGCTCATATGATGCCTGACCTACCTAACGTGGGCTGGGAGAGAGATGTCGAACAGTTCATTGTAAGTAAACTGAGATTTAAAAAAAAAAAAGGAGGTTGAGATTGAGTTTTGGAAAACAAAGTTGTACATGAGGGCATTGTTATTGCCATTTATCAGAAAGCTTTTAGAGTTCTAGCTCACAGAGGTAATCCCATCCCCAGATATATTACCACAGGTAAATACATAGGAGAATTGATATGAAATTAATTTGCTGAGAATAAAAGATTAAATACATGTATTGGTGTCATTTCCCATAACATTATTTGGAACAGAGGTAAAATTAGAGCATTGATCTCAAAATGTCAAACGATTCTATCAAAAAGATGTACTGACTTTTAAGAGAGTCAATTGTAAATCCCCGAAATAGCCTAAAAGATACATCTGACTTGTAAGTGGACCAACTTATAAGTTAATTGCATTCTTTTTGGTTAGTACCGGTACATTCTCTTTTCATTGATCACTTTTGAATCATTTTGCCCTCAGTTACATGTGAGTAATCATTTTCCAAATTGTTGTTCTATTTTGAAATTCATGAATAACATATATGTACCTCTACAGAAAAAGTAAAATGAACTGTAAATAATTGTAAACTTTACTTATGATAACAAGTTTTGCTAAATCTTATCTTTGTAAAATTTACAGTCATGTCTTTTTTTTTAAATTGAGAAGTATTTTTATTTATGCAAAAAAATAAATAAATAAAAATGATAAAACAACACAGAGTGAATTAGTGTATAAAATATGTTGCAATATTATCTTTGACTTTTAAAGAAAGTTGTTGAACACAAGTTTTGAAAAATATGTAGATCTATATTCTTTAAAAAATCACTTGATGTAATTTTTCTCCAGGAGTTTTTTGAAAACCCAGCATTCCGAGCAGATGGTCTTAAAATTTACCCTACCCTGGTGATCAGAGGCACTGGTATGCTCATTGTTACACATTATTTGTTGATCAAATTGAATTTGTTTTACTAAGTTCTAAAACATTCGTTAAGCTGACCTATTAGTTTTATGTACAGTATGTAAGGCTATTTTGTTGACTTGTTTAGGTTTATATGAATTATGGAAAACTGGTCGCTACAAGAGTTATCCCCCTAGTGGCCTCATAGATCTGATAGCTAGAATTCTAGCACTGGTTCCCCCATGGACCAGAGTTTATAGGGTCCAGAGGTTAGTCTCAAAGTTATTGATAAATGCAAAATAATACAAACAAAGAAAAAATTTAAAATAAAAATATGGATTTACAAACATATAATAAGTACATGTATATACATTACACTGTGTCTTATGAAGTACTGTGTATATATTTGGGGTTTTGCTGATTACAGAGATATTCCTATGCCATTAGTAAGTTCTGGAGTAGAGCATGGAAATCTACGAGAGCTAGCTTTGGCTCGGATGAAAGATCTGGGGACAAGTAGTCGTGACGTCAGAACACGGGAAGTAGGAATTCAGGAAATCCACAACAAAGTCAGGCCATATGAGGTGAGAATTCAATTTCTCTTTTCTTTGAACAATCTTTTACTTAAATCTGTGTAATGCACCGTTCCTGACCATGATAATAAACTTGAATAGACCAATTATGCTTATAGTGTTGCACAATTACTATTAACCTTTGTCAAATTTTATTAGGCTGATTTGTAAAAATGTCAAAAAAAAAAAAAAAATAGTCTTTTGAAATTCTTGTTGATAGTCTCAGTGCACATGTAATTAAGGGTTTTGTAAATTAGTTCCTCTACCAGTTTGGAAATTACACTGAAAAATTAAATGTAAATTTTAGGCAGAATTAATCAGAAGAGATTATTGTGCAAATGGAGGCTGGGAGACATTTTTATCATACGAGGACCCGGAGCAGGACATTCTGATAGGACTACTGAGATTACGCAAGTGTTCCCCCGACACATTTAGACCAGAACTCCGATCAGGCTGCTCTATTGTTAGAGAGCTCCATGTCTACGGAAGTGTAGTCCCTGTCCACGCCAGGGATCCCACTAAATTCCAACATCAGGTAAAGAGAAAGTCAAGCCAGTGGAATATGAAAGATGGAGAAAACATGATGTTTAGTTGTTACCCTTTCTCTAAGAAAATATTTCACAGGTTGATAAAAGGAAGGGGTTGGTTATTGAAGGGAATATGGTTCATTTTATAGGAATAACCATTTCCCTTTTGACCTTTCAATGTATAAACAAAATATAAGTCAATTTAAAAAATTCAGTTTTGTTATAAGTATCCAATGTGTTAAACCATCGTTATGTTACTAATGTTACATATGTTACTAAAACTTGTTTGCAGGGTTTTGGTATGTTACTTATGGAAGAAGCAGAAAGAATAGCCAGAGAGGAACATGGTTCATCAAAAATAGCTGTGATATCTGGTAGGTTGTTAGCTGTGATATCTGGTAGGTTGTTAGCTGTGATATCTGGTAGGTTGTTGGCTGTGATATCTGATTGGTTTTAGGTTTTTAGCTCACCTGAGCTGAAGGCTCAAGTGAGCTTTTCTGATCACATTTTGTCCGTCTGTCCGTCTGTCTAGCTGTCCATCCGTCTGTAAACTTTTCACATTTTCGACTTCTTCTCCAGAACCACTGGGCCAATTTCAACCAAACTTGCCACAAAGCATCCTTGGGTAAAGGGGATTCAAGTTTTTTCAAGTGAAGGGCCACACCCTCTTTCAAGGGGAGATAATTAAGAATTAGTGAAAATTTGGTGGTATCTTTTAAAAATCTTCTTCTCAAGAACCACTGGGCTGTTAAAGTTGAAACTTATGTGAGACCTTCATTACATAGTGTAGATTCAAGTTTGTTCAAATCATAACCCTCTGGGGGATCATAACCCCCACAATGGTGGATCAAAGTTTTACATAGGAATATATAGGAATAAATCTTTAAAAGTCTTCTCCTCAAGAACAACTAAGCCATGATTAGTCATATTGATATGGAATCATCCTCAGGTAGTGTAGATTCAAATTTGTTCAAATCATGACCCCCAGGGGTAGGGTGGGGCCACAATGGGGAATCAAAGTTTTACATAGAAATATATAGAAAAAAATCTTTAAAAATCTTCTTCTCAAGAACAACAAAGCCACAATTAGTCATATTGATATGGAATCATCCTCAGGTTGTGCAGATTCAAGTTTGTTCAAATCATGACTCTTGGGGTAGGGTGGGGCCACTATGGGGAATCAAAGTTTTACATATGAATATATAGAAAAAAATCTTTAAAAATCTTCTCCTCAGGAACAACAAAGCCACAATTAGTCATATTGATGTGGATTCATCCTCAGGTAGTGCAGATTCAAGTTTGTATCAAATCATGACCCCTGGGGGTAGGATGGGGCCACAATGGGCGATCAAAGTTTTACATAGGAATATACAGAAAAAAACTTGAAAAATCTTCTTCTCAAGAACAGCAAAGCCTTGTTAAGTCATATTGATATGGAAGCATTCTCAGATACTGTAGATTTAACTTTGTTCGAGTCATGACCCCCAGGGTTAGGGTGGGGCCACAATGGGGGGGTCAAAGTTCTACATAGGAATATATAGGAAAAAACTTTAAAAATCTTCTTCTCAAGAACAGCAAAGTCGTGTTTTGTCATATTGATATGGAAGCATTCTCAGGTAGTGTAGATTCAATTTTGTTCAAATCATGACCCCTGGGGGTAGGATGGGGCCACAATGTGGGATCATAGTTTTACATAGGAATATATAGGGGAAAAAACTTGAAAAATCTTCTTCTCAGGAACAGCAAAGCCATGTTTTGTCATATTGATATGGAAGCATCCTCAGGTAGTGTAGATTCAAATTTGTTCAAATCATGACCCATGGGAGTAGGGTGGGGCCACAATGGGGGATCATAGTTTTACATAGGAATATATAGGGAAAAAACTTGAAAAATCTTCTTCTCAGGAACAGCAAAGCCATGTTTTGTCATATTGATATGGAAGCATCTTCAGGTAGTGTAGATTCAAGTTTGTTCAAATCATAACCCCCAGGGGTAGGGTGGGGCCACAATGTGGGATCAAATTTTTACATATGAATATATAGGAAAAAATCTTTTCAACAACAGAAAAGCCATGTTTAATCATATTGATATGGAAGCATCCTCAGGTAGTGTAGATTCAAGTTTGTTCAAATGATGGGGGGGGGGGGGGATAGGGAGGGTCCACAATGTGGGATCAAATTTTTAACAGGGGAATATATAGGAAAAAAATCTTTAAAAATCTTCTGCTCAAGAACAGCAAAGCCATTTGTTATATTGATAAGGAAGCATCCTCAAGTAGTTCAAAATCTAAGCCCCCCCCCCCCCTTTAAACTTTTCAATACTGAAGTGATTTGTGCTTTTTCCTAGCCAATGTGCTCAGGTGAGTGATGTGGCCCATGGGCCTCTTGTTTAGTTGTGATATTTGGTAGGTTGTTAGTTGTGATATCTGGTAGGTTGTTAGTTGTTATGTCTGGTAGGTTGTTAGCTGTGATGTCTGGTAGTTTGTTAGCTGTGATATCTGGTAGGTTGTTGGCTGTGATATTGGATTGGTTTTAGGTTTTTTAGTTTTGATATCTGGTAGGTTGTTAGCTTTGATATCTGGTAGGTTGTTAGCTTTGATATCTGGTAGTTTGTTATCTGTGATATCTGGTAGGTTGTTAGCTGTGATATCTGGCAGGTTGTTTAATAGCTGTAATGTCTGGTAGGTTATTGATCTCTTCATGTGATTAAGGCTGTCTAGAGAATTTCAATATTGGCATATCAATTGATTAAAATTTGACAAATTGAATGATTTAAATAACAAAAACTTAACTCAAATGTTTAATTACATGTAAAAAGAATGCGGGATTTAACAGACCTTTGATGATGAGAAGTAAAATTTGCAAAAGGTTGCTTATGAGAGAAAGCACAAATCCTTTGAGATGAAGTAATGTGCATACGTTACTCTGCCATAGTTCTGTAACAACCTTGAGTGGTGTGAGTTACATGTACATATTGTAGGTACACTAGCATGCATGCCCTAAATACTCTGTCATAGTACTGTATCTACCACAAGTGGTTTTACTTACTTGTTCTTTAGTGTACATAATTTAAATAGTCTTCTCTCTATCTCTTGTAGGGGTTGGAACAAGGAATTACTACAGAAAGATTGGATATGAGCTGGATGGACCATACATGTCTAAATCACTAGTCTAAATAAATACATGTACTGAAAATCATTTGCATTGTAATTATTTTTCTTTTTTTTTTTGTTTGTTTGTATGTTGTTTAACGTCCCTCTCGGGAATTTTTCACTCATATGGAGACGCCACCACTTGCCGGTGGAGAGCTGCAAATTTTGTCATATGCTCGGCACTTAAGGCCATTGAGCAGTGAGGGATCTTTATCGTGCCAGCACCTACTGCGACAAGGGACCTTGGTTTATATGGTCTCATCTGAAGAACCGGTCTCCACGTCCCACAGTGGGATTCGAACCCGTGACGTAAGGATCAACTCCTTACTTTGCGACTCTAGAACAGACGCTCTAACCACTGCGCCACGCAGGAGACAATTTTATTTTTTTTAGTTTGTAGAAAGAAATAGCTGTGAATATACTGAATATAAACAGAGTTATTTAGAAAAGTAAAGTTATTTCAATTCTCCATATGAAATACCCTCATGGACAATGAAATTAAGATTAATGTAAAATGACACAAATTATGCCTAATTTTGGAAAAGTATTATTAAACTTTAGTCACTGGACTCGGGTGAATTGCGATTTGCTTTTGTCTTTTAATTTTCATCCACGATTCTCCTTAGCTTTTGAACATTTTTCAGTGTTTTGAAACAGTTCAACCATGCAATTTTAATCTTTTTTGTTGTTTTTTTTCGGGGGGGGGGGGGGGGGGGGGGGGGTATGCAGAAGAAAAATTGGGAATATCCTGACCCTTCACCATGTGGGTCAGGGGATGGGACGAAATGAAAATTTATTGGTTCAAGCTTTTGGCCCGAGGATTGAGCTGAATTTGTTATATATGTATATAACAGGTGCTCATTGAAAACATTTAGCAAGCAAACTGTATGCATGTTAACAAGAAGATAGGGGCCCTTTACCAAACTGAAATTTATGTTCCAAGAGTTTTTGGTCCCAGGGTGAAACTTAATTAATACGTATATATTGATAATACTGTAAACCAATTATTATTTGCGAGCCATGAATTTTAAAATTTTGGAAGAAGCACCCTTGCTCATAGTTTGTCTGCTTGGTACTCAGGAGCAGAGAAGAAAATTTTCAAAGAATTAATGCATTTTCACTGCCGCACCCTAAACACAAGATGCCTGACCCAGGGACTGTATTTCACAACTTGGGTAGTTTACTTAACTTAGCTTTTGACAACTATGTGCTGAGTTTGACTGCTTTGTACCAAGGAGTAAAGAAGATTTTCAAAGAATTAATTCGGGATGACAACAAGTATTTGAGTACTCCACTATCCTTCAGTCATACCGACTATCAACTAAATATATTTTACTCGGTTACTTGGTAAATATGTGCTACTTTATAATTATAAAAATAGATTCACCTTATGTGTTTAGGGTGGGGCAGTGAAAATGCATTAATTCTTTGAAAATTTTCTTCTCTGCTCCTGAGTACTAAGCAGACAAACTATGAGCAAGGGTGCTTCTTCCAAAATTTTAAAATTCATGGCTCCATTGTCAGGGACTCTGGTTTGAGGGCAGGGCTGTTTATCAAATAGTGAAAATGCATTAATCTGTGAAAAATCTTCCTCTTGGGCATCTAGCAGACAAACTAAGGGCAATGAGTAAGGGCATCTTCACTAAATTGCAACATTCATGTTTATTTATCTTGTACATGTATAGAAATGTTTAGTCTACTTTGAGACATCATCTCAAACCACGGTCCGGAGTCCGCATATACATGTAGCTCTCTCCTACCCATGGCTGCAGTGTCATAATCTTGAATATTTACGCCTCTATGTTGTGACGTCATGTTCAGTCAATGACAATATTTGTTTCCATCGCAATTGAAATCAACAACTGACATCAACAGTGTACAAGAAATGTTTTGTAGAATGTGATTGGGTATTGAAAGGTCTCGTCAAAGTTCATTATCCGACTATGCTTTACTCACATTGGACAATTTTTTAATGAGCTGCGAAATATTCTCTTCTCGTTCAACCAAGGCCAGAATGGGAGAGGATCATACATTTTGGCCGTGGTTTGCGACGATGACTTTGAGAGAGGTTACTGTATTCCCTTTAGAATATTCACCTGATAATTAATCACTACATAAGGTAATTGATAGGTATACCGAATAAAAGAAATATACAATAATTTTAATACATGTATATGATACAAAAATTACTTTCATAGTTTTGAATGGTCTGGTAGACTTGTAAGTAATAGATATATCAACATGACTAAAATACTTGATATTTAAATTTGTGCTGTAAATAAAAGTTAAAGACAAGGTTGGCCGGGAAATACCAGTAGTGGGAATTACCAGTGGTAAATACCGGTATTTCCCGTCCTGGGAAATACTACAAATTTTCTCTAAACTGGGAAATATTGGGAAATACTCGGAAATACAAAGTTAGATTTTTATTTCTTTAATTCATTCAGTCTTATACAAAATTCAAAAATAAAATTTACATAGAAACAGAAGATGAATAATATTGATTGTCTCAAATTGCAATTTTAACATATTCAGAATGTATCACTGTTCTACTCAAGGTAATTATCTCTCAAAACAGGAGCACAAAACTGTCAAGAGCAATTTGTTAAAACAACAACTCCAGGTCCCATACCCATAAGCATTCCAAAACATTTCCCTGACTGTATGAAACTGAAGTTTTACAATTCAAGTTTCTTTTCAGTTTTGTAAAATTATTAAGTTTATTAATAATAAATCCAAGAACAAAACAAACTCATTTTAATCCTTCTTTAAACAGAGTTCTTACAATCAATCATGTTGTTTTAACAAATTGCTCTTGACAGTTTTGTGCTCCTGTTTTGAGAGATAATTACCTTGAGTAGAACAGAATGGCTTCTTAGGTTTGATATTATTATCTATTTCTGTACTGTATCTGTTTGTATCATATTGTATATACTGATAAGCTGCAAAGCTTAAAGTAACAGTAACGAAGAAAGAAAGATATTTAGACCATACTGTACATTTAACAATTCACTTTAATAGATTCTGATCCTTTTTTAGTTACATAAAAAACCCAATGGGATCTTTGGGTTCATTGGACCTTTATAGACTACATTTGACTCAAGCATGAAACAAATGACACTCATGACTGGTATATGAGTATGCTGTGTTATGATTATATAAATGAATTACTTGAAAACAGAATTTTTAAATCAGGGCAGTGATACCAGATAGATAATTTAACCAATAAGGGGTACTACATGCCAATATGAATGAAATATGGAGCTATTTCTTATTTCCCAGTATTTCCCGGGAAATACCAGTAATTCCCGGTAATTACCAGTATTTCCCACCGTCCTGGGAAATATGAGTATTTCCCAGTTTTTTGCCAACCCTGGTTAAAGAGCAGGTGCTGTTAATAGAAGGAATTTACAGTGGACTATAGAGTAGTTCTTAAACATGATATATTTATAAGATTGGTGTTACTGGGAGTGTAGTCAGCACTGGTATATACAGGCGAGTAAATAAATCTACTTTCAGAGCTGCAGATCAGCAGACAAACCTCGATTGCCCTATTTCTCTTTGTGAGCAACTGGACTTCCTCTATCAATTTATTTTGGTTAATTATCTTAGTACCATTTTATGGATCCTTTACAGAGTTGTATCATACTCAGGTGACCGTTGGGCCTCTTATGACTGGAGTTCATCCTACTCTCCAGTTCATTTGCATCAAATATTTCTATCCATTTACATATTCTTGATAGTCATCCAACTTTTTACAACTGGTTGGCCATGGTAGTCTGACAGTGTAAAGAATTTTAGGTCATATTTTAATATCTGATCATTATCTTGGGAACTCTTTGCGTTATAGTTGAACGTACACCACTTGATCCGAAGGCTGACTAATCACAAGTAGACAACTTATCTCAGATAATACTTTGCTTTTGATTGATCATATGATTTGGCGAGTGAAAATGGCATGATCCAATTCATATCATCTTATTACTTACGCACATATACCATGGATTTGAAAATTCTCAACAATATTTTTTCTCCAGATATTTGTTCATGGTATATAGTCCACCATTAGAGATAAAATTTACATGTTCTGTATATGCCAAATTTCAGTATTAATGGAGTCAATCCTGTGTAGGATTTGACAATGTAAAGTTCTCTTTATAAACACAAATACATCATCTGCAAAGGTCTTTATTAACATTAATACAATAAATAATTTTATGTGTGGGTGAGGGGGGTCATTTTGCTGCAAAACATTTTAGAATATTGAATATTGTGATTTGTAAAATGAAAAAAAAAAAGATATGGCAGAAAATACTGAATACACTTCAAACAAATGCATAAAAACATTCTCAGCAGAAATGAATACATGGATTAATTGGCTGGCATTATAAATGATTTATTAGAAATTGCATTTTTAATGACAAGATCTAGATGTATTTCTGTAATCCTAAATGGAACAATGAAACGTTTCAAATGATCTACCTGAGCCAGTAACTTCTCAACATACAAGAAACACATACATTAAATATAAACATGATTAAAACAATTATTAATGATGATAACAATGTACTGGTACGCCACAAGTTTTTCAAAATGAGTGTACAAACTTTCCCTCAGTGACAGGAGGAGAATTGTCACCCTTCACATTTTATAACTGTGTGTATATGAATAACATAGAACCATTGTATATGGTCTTACTCATGTAATGTAAAGAGAATAGTATCAAAGAAAACAACATTGAGTACATGCTTTAGAAAAATTTTGAACAGCTTAAAACAATCTCAACCATCTAAACAGGAAATCAGATTTCATGTTTGTTAAGAAATATTCATTGAAAGAATCCACAAATGCTACTAAAATGCATATTTTGAAAATGCAGTACTAAATAACATAAATGACTGTGAAAGGCCTCAAAATAAAATAATGAACACACATTTATCAAGCTTTCCCTAGTACATGTGCATGTATTTAACAACCTTTCACACATTAGTTAAAAACACCAGATTAGATCCGGAGTTATAAAATATGTAGATTAGATATGAAACT